TAAATTTCCACGAAACAGTTTACCATGAATAAGGCACCGAGCAGCGTATATTTTCCTATCGTACTCAACAACGACTTATCCTGTATTATAACATTTGCGTTCGGTCCAATTTGCAGTCTTCGTGGAACAACAGTTCAAAGGCGCAGGCCACCTTAAAACTGGAATAAATCCATTTGCCTCGGGACTCAATAATAGTCCTCGGCTCTGCACCTCTCGACCCTTATCACCGATGAAATAAAGGGTATAGGCGTGCATCTTGTATCTGGCAGGCCTAGGGCAAGCACCGGCCTAATTGTTCTCGGCGAATTGGCACGGATTTCGTATCAGGTGACGAAGATATATACACGTTTTTTTCGGAAGGATTGACACACGACAATAACGAAGTATCTAGTCAATTTCCTACCTTTGTGGCTGTGCGCGTAGGTTTTCGGATACGTTTAATGATGCATTTGGGTTGTAGTTCTGTCATTTTAGCATTTAGTTATTTTTTAATCCATATCTGCGTTGTGAAGGCTTCCAAGTTATATTACTCCTAATTGTGGAAGTGTAACAGGAAGACCTCAGAATACTTAGTTCCCCATATTTTATCTTTAAAAATGATTATGAGGATTCTTCAATATTTTCAACTTTGTGATATTTCTCTACATTGCGTGTGTTCAACTCAACGTTGCACAACGTTCACCAACGGGGAATCATTCGCAAAAGTACAGCAATGGCATTATTCGTTGATTGGAACGCACAAAATGGCCTTGCGAAATACTATGGTATGGGCCAATACTGATGTATAATTATATGATTAGATACTTTGGTCGCATAGCTCAACAGTGCAGTTAAGTACTATTACATTAGCCTCCCACCCTGCAACTAAATAATGCACAAAGAACGGCAGGTGATCTTGAATTCGGAACCATGCCAACCGGAATTCCCAATGACAAGGTACTCTCGTAATATAACTCTGGAACAATATCACAAACACTTTAATCCTTAATATACATACACACAAATATAGGCCTATTCATCATGAAATAAAATAACTTCTTCATTCCTTCCGTGTATACAAAGAGATGCCTATTAACTGGGGCTTGGTTATCAGCAACAAATTGATCAAAACGTGATATATATGTTGTGGAAAATATCTACTTACTCCTTCTGATATGACTGCGGTATTTTGTCGTAAACGAGGATTTGAATCCGAAGTAAGTTCTATCGTCAATACGTTTAAAGCAGTTACTGACGAATATATATTGAAGGAATTAATATGTACTTTAAACCCCTTCTTGGCAGAGAGAACTGAAATCTCAAGTACCCCCAGTTATAGTCCAATCCAGGCACGCTATCATTTCTATCACGGTGGCGCCCTCCCATGGTGATACCATTGTGTTAGCTATTGTTCAGATAATCTGCCCCCGGGGCAATTGTTTTGTATAAGAACTAGCGCAATGTTTTCGTCATTAAAGGGACACGCATAAGTGCGCGGCGATCACGTAACCTACCAAATAAAAACGTGAGAAAGTAGAAAAAAGGCCATGACCCTTTTCTTTAATAGTTTGAAACCACCGGTTGGGAACATCTTTCACACCTCTTTCTTGTGTCATGGCTTTTCCATAGGGATGAAGTCAGTTTTTGATATTGGCTTTGCCCCTTCAAAGGCGTAACCTTTCCGGCCCATTGTAGTTTACTAAACCCGTTGTCTTTATTTTAAAACCCTTCTGTGCTTTTCACACGACACTGTTAACTTGATGACGATAATACATGTATTAACAAAGGTACAAAAGAGTAAAAAATGATACCTTTATATATTTGAATAGCTCGATTTATCACGTAAGGCAACAGCCTCAGATTTTTTTTAGGAGGAGGTGTTTTTTGGTTGTTGTTGGTTTGTTTGTCATCGAAAACCGGCGGATGATGAAAATCATATCATAATGGAAAGATTGAAGATTTCTAATGTCTTATTTGATTGTTAATTCCATTGCTTTTGGGGGAGACCCACGGAACTTAGTCAGTGGGCTTGTGGGGGCCCATATGCATTTTTGGGTACAATCTGTGAAACTCTCAGGATCTCCTATGGATACCTCAGCAAGTTCAAAACCACTTGATGCCATTTTTTCTGACCCTTTGATGGGCGGGGCCATGACATTAAAAAGTGGGGAGCTTCGCGCGCAAAAACCACTTTGGTAGTTTCACTTTTCTTTTTGGCATTTGGACAGTTCACCCAAACGCTACATCACTAGAATAAAAACAAGTGCGAGCGCACAATAAGCTCTGGTCGTCTTGCATGAAAGTCTTGCATGAAATCTATCAGAATGATCCCTGCCAGAGCTGAAAAATGCGACGCCCAAAAATGTGACGCCGATGGCACATATGGAACACCAAACTTTAGATTTATAGCGGTTTGTGATAAATCCCACGTGACTATAACGTTACTACACACATTTTGCCTCCATTTACAAACTTTTCATAAACATCTTTCCGAATTGTTACAAACAATTTTTGTTAAGTATTTAATTTATTTTGTTTGCTTTTTTGAAACTTTAAATTTGGGGCCTTATTTTGGTCAATTTTTGGTCAATTTTCCGGGGACCGACTGACCACCAAGTGACATGTAGAAGCTCCTGCCAGAGCTTAAAAAACTCCTTTTTTCCCCCTCTTTTGGGGGTGGTACCACTTTTTATAAAAATGGAGGCAAATGACGTTAACAGAAGAGTTATATGTAACGGGCAATCTTGGTGGGTTTTTTTTCATCCAGTACAGTGAACGGGGGTGGATAGAATGTGTACATGTCAAATCATAAACTTGTTTCCCCACTTGGGGGGCGTGTCACAATTTTTTTCATAAAAGGGGGACGCATCTTACATATGAACAAAAAAACCAACAATCTAACCCATATTTATTTTTTTAAGACATTAACTTAACAAACCTATGAAGCTCAGTTTTGTTTCTATGAAATTTTAGCTGGTATGTCATTGTTTTAGGCGTAAAACTAGAATTTCCAAAATGGTAGGAAAAGAGTGATTTCACATTAAATAAAGCCACAATGATGTGTTTTTTGGGGTCTGAAATCGGCAAAATAAAAGTGTGTATTACTATGTGTGTATTACTATGGATATTCGATTGCACATTCTTCATTTCGGCTCAAAAACAGTACCCCGAAAACCATCTTCTAGGGTAGGGGGAAACATGGCATCAAGTGGATTTGGGTTTTATAATGTGGATTAACAATACCTGAAATGTTCAAATAATGTACCGGAAATTGCATATCGGAGATGATTTTTGACCATAAGCCAACTGACAGACTTGCCATAGCCAGACATGTTATCTTCATGACGGGAGTAATTATGCTACTTTCATTTCGACAAAGCACTAGTTTCCGTCCCACCTACGCTCTTTCTGCGTTTAATCTCCGTATGTTATTAAAATGCACAGGGCTTTTTTTCATAATGTAATAAACCGCATACTATTCATTTCCCGAGCCTTGCCTTCTTTTTCTGTTATCACAAAGCCAGTATTTTACTCGTATGTATTATAACTCGCATAAACGCACGTGGGATAATATTAATGGTTATCGAAATTTGTATGGCTAATAAGAGTGCATAATATAGTTGTTATTTCCTGGATACCAAGAATTTATGCGTATAAGAAGCGAATTGAGGACACTCTGTGCTGAGTTTTTTTTTCCAGAGCAACGTTCTAATGAGCCCTGTATAACCTACAATGTGCAAGGAGCGCCATGTAAGACGCATCGGCGCGGTCCAAAGTCTGAAATTTTGATTTATGTTTGGTTTAAGAATTGTGAGTCAAAGAGTTGGTTTCTTTCAAAGGTCACCAACTGCCTTGAGTTTGTACACCGCATATACATACAGATATTGGCGGGCTTTCTGAGTGTTGTACAAGCTGACTCAAAAAATGCAACCCTGAAACATTTGCCTTTTTTTAAACCGTGATCTGTGAATTTATAAGTTTTGGACATCAGATTAAAGCTGAGAGTTTTTTCTTTCAATACTGAAAAAAAACCCATGAAAACAGCACATTGGATTGCTGAGAAAATACCAATTCTGTAACACAACTCCTTTTTGGTCCATTCCAATGGCATTGCCACAGTTAAGGGATTCACACTGTACCTATCTGTGCATGAAATGCATGTAGCGCATCGTGTCACAATCCAGCTGTCCTTACAAACAACACGGCACATAATATGACAAGAGTGCAAATAAATTTGATGGAAATACCTTTTATTTTCCACCTGAACGGGTATCTTATCCTTTTTAGTCCCATTTTAAAACTTCAGTTAAAGCATCATAAATATGTCAAAATATTAAAGAAATTGCACAAATGAAAGACAATCGCTCAGTGGGCTTACAGTAACATGTTTCACTGCTTGAAGCACCATTGGAGAAGATGACCCTTTTTTTAACTGGCATTTTCTCAGCAACCCAATTTATGGGGTTTTTTTCAGTAGGCCTATTTGGAAGGAAAAACTCTCAGTTTTAATCTGATATCTAAAACATAACAATTAGCAGATCACGTTGTTAAAAAAAAGGCAAATGTTTCAGGGTTGCATTTTGTTGGGTCACCCTGTATAAAGGTAGGCCTATACTTCATAATTCTACGGTATTGGACGCGGCCTCCAATATTCGGATGTTGCAGGGAGGATGATCTACTTGAATCAAACTACACGGCGTTGTCAAGTAGCGGTGGTAAACTTGACAAAGGGATGGTGCTTGCGTCCAACATCTAAAACAATGTCTGGGTTGTCACTTTGTAAATGGTCGAGGTTCAGGAAGTGCTGGGTTTACTTCTCGGTACTTTAAGCCATCTCTGACATATTATTTCTCCAAAGTTCACTGTAAAGTTCAAACTTTTGATTAAATCTCATATTTCAAGTAATATCATGCAATGTTTGTTGTGACCACAACATCCCATTTAGTATTAAAACCAGTGTGACTTACTGGCTATGCACTCTTAATCATGCAAAGCCTCGTTTTTTGGTTCTGCTTTACCAGATTATTCAAGAGGTCGCCTGAGACACAGGACTGGTTTCCCTCGTTCAAGGGCAAAACGGAGGAGCAGCTACGTGACGATGATAACTTCGAGACACACGCCTCTGCTGTGATGGGCGTGTTCGATGAGACGGTGGAGTTACTAGGCGACGTGGATGCATCTATTAAATTACTGACTAAAACGGGTAAACGGCACGCGAAGCTGGGCTTGGAAGCCGACCTTATATGGGTGAGTGTGGCACAATGGTTCGAGCGCGAACAACGAGTCGCCCATTTTCCATCTCGCTTTCCAACGGGCATGCGCAATTACTGTACTGCTCGAGCAACGCCACGACTCCAAGTGTAACCGTTATCTAAACCATTCCCGCAGCTCGCCATCATTTTGCACGATTATTTTCGTGTCTGCAGGCCTGTGACTTGAATGCGAAATAGACTACGTGAGCCAGTGAGGTGGGTTGAGAGTGCTGTTCCAACAAACCCCAACCATGGGGGACGCCAGAAATGGGCAGGGGGGGGGGGGGCGCTCCCCCCGGAAAAGCAAAACAAAACAAACAAAGGAAGGAAAAAAGGGGGAAAAGAAAAGGAAAAGTGGTGTGAAGTCATATTTGCTATTAATTTAATACACATTTATCAAAATGGGCGTCTGCAGGGGTGTCAATGGGGTGGGGTGGGTAAATGCCCCCGCCCACCCTCGAAAAAATGATAAATTGAGAATATGCTAGAGAATACAAGGATTTTTTGGGGGAAAATATGCTTCCCCTCCCCTAGAAAAAAATCCTGGCGACGCCCATGACCCCAACCGTCCTCGACTAGCCTGCGTTCAAGTGCATGCTTGGCTATTATTTCGCGCTCTACTTCTTATTCCGGACCTTCGTCGATTAGTTCCCTGTAACATTGTTGATTAATAACAAGGCATAGGCCTACAGAGTTAAAAAAAAAAAAAAAAAAAAAAAGTAAAGTACCCCTCTCTAGTAATAACTTTGCATACGGATAAATGTAGCTTTTATAAAGTAGAGTGATCGTTTCATCAAATGTTTTGAGAGCACAGACTGTTACTTTCGTAGTCTTAGTGATGAAGCAGCGGGTCTTGTTCAACCTGTGCAGACAGTGAAATGGATTGGAGCCCTTTAAAATCATCAGTTTTATCAATCAAAATGGGCGCCCTATTTGCGTTGTTTGACGTAGACAGTCTACGTAATGGTCTCAATGTATGTTTTGCTTGAGCTTCTGGCTCATAACGGAGCTGTCCCTTAAGTCGACAAGATGGATCATTTCGTCAAAAATTTGAGCCGGACAGGATACGGTTTAGCCAATCATTAATGGACATCGGTCGATAATACGTTGTGCGTAGTAGACAGAGAATCCCTTCCGGTGCATATTTATCGCATTGATTATGCTCCGCATAATCCGTCACGACGTGTATTAAAACAAGAAGTTCATCGTCCGTTTCTGAACTCCGATGACGACTCGGCGTGGGTGGAACTTAGTGTCCGTTCAAAGACTGTTTTATTTCACATTATGTATTGATGGGTTTTATTTTACATCTTCAGGTATTCATAAAGACATTGAAAATATGACAAAATCAAAGATGATAGTACATAGTTTTTATTATAAAAACTACACTGGGGCTCTCTAGAAATAAATAAAAAGTGGGAGACGGATAAAAAGTATTTAAAAAAGAAACTAATAAAAAGGTGCAAACTTAACACACTACGCACACCAAATGAACACAGATGCAACCCTTAAAAATGGCTTTCCAAACACCTTGAACTCAACCGATTGTTTAAGCCTTTAACGATGATCCGCCCGAATCAACATTCGGCAAGGCATCCACGCTGATTTTCACTAAAAAAACAAAATCATCCCATTTATTTACAAGGCATGACCTGTATTTTTCAGTTTTATTTCAAGAGTGAGTTATGAATGGAAAGTCCAATGCCATGCATCACACAATACACTGCCATTAACAAGATCCCAAATCGCGAAAAAAAAGTGGAAGACCGTAGTAGCTTAAATTATCATCTCTTTATTATTTCCTTTGCCTGCAGACGTTTCAGAAGCCCTTACTGGAGGCGATCGAGGAACTTTTGGACACGAGGTACAGTGAAAAGATCGAGGAGATCTACAAACTATGGACGACATTTGCGATCGAACACATGACCAAGGCAATGCAGGCCGAATCTTAATATACAACAGTGGAGGGGAGATGGTTTACTCATTGACATCAGCAATATTAAGAGGTATCATCCTGAGCCAGACGGCTGTTTCCGGGCTGTTTCATCCGGCCACACGTTTGGACGCATATTGTGGAGTTCACTCGGAGGGCATCGGTCTTGCTTGAAATCACGATGTATGGAGCGCCTCTCGATCAAAACACACGCCCCAAGGAAGATCTTCGATTCTTCAAACGCTCCACGACAGCAGCTCAATATATAAAAAAAAATACACAATTCCACGAACACCGCGTGTGCCAGTCTTTTGTAAGGTTAAAAATAATAGTACATTTTATTCTGTCCTCAAAGTTTTACCCCCTCCTCTTTTCGGGCAATGAATAATGTACTGCTGCCGCGGCCATTTGCTGTTAATTTATGATAATCCACATGCTTCGGGTTTTGTTCACACAGCAAGTGAGTTTTGCTTATTGTTATCGGTAGCAGAGATTACTCTTTTAAGCTGTTTTGAAAATGTAGAGAAGGATTAAAAAATATTCCTCGGAGGCGTAAAGTACCACTATATTTTCTTAAATGCCTATACTTATTTATTTTTTATCCCTTTGTACTTGTAAGAGTTAGATTCTTTGAGGGTCAATGTCTCTCATGTAATTAGATTTTATTGTCCCTAGCGCTCATTGTTGAGACTTACAATATTGATCACGCCTGACAATAACTCATTCAACCTGTCCTTTGTGTACAAGCACTTGATTTTATGCAGGTTTTTTTTTTAATCTGATTAAGAGGTTCATAAATGAAGCTATTTCAATGAATGAACAATGTGCGGAGGGAAGTGATATTGCAAATGACTGCAAGGAATATGAAAGTCGATGCTTGTGTATAAAAGAAAGTAGCTACTCGCTTCTTACACTGATATTCTTTTTGACAAGGAGCACTCACGTTAAGTTCCGGGGAGGGGATACCCCCCCCTCATTTTCCCCCCAAGAAAATACACCTGAGCCTATAGTATTATTGCACCTTGAATTGATTAATTTGACATTGCTACAGTAGAAATTATTGCGGGTCTGTATATTATTTTTATGCAAAGGTTAACATTTATATTTTACAACGACAGAAGGCGCTTAGTTTGTGAAACTGAAACGTTTTTCGACCTTTCCGATATCGTTAGGGGAAAGTCAAACTTTTGCCCCCTCCCCTTCCCGGCTCAGAAACTAGATACGCCGCCGAAGACGAACGTCTATTTAAACATTCCTTTGAATGAAATGAAATCTGAGTTACGTATGCGATGTATAGGTGAGGCAATTTCTAATAAAGAAATGGAAATTGTAGTCGAACAATTTAAAATCAGTTTCCCCTTCATATATTATCGTTGGAAACCTATTTCACTGCTGAGCGATTTTGTTTTGTCATGTTTAAAACTCCGTAACTTGAAAAGTACATGAGTAATTTGAATGATTCTTGTACTAAGAGAAAGCTTGTGAATTGGGCTTTTATATCCTAGATTTTAAAAGTGCTACATGCAGCACTTCATCAAAACAATGGTCCCGACATTTTAGTTTCGTGTTGTTTTTTTTTTGTTTTTTTTTACTCACCCTGTATATTTACATTAAGGTCCAAAAACGTTAGGAATTTGTGGTACTGAGCCATAATCATCAAAAGTGCCATATACATCCGGGTTCCAATTAATTTCAAGGGGGTCGTCAGATAAGAGTGTCTATATGACATTTTTTTAGATCACGGATTTGGTTCAACCTTGTTTTACATAAGACAATACCTGACCAGTACCTGACCCAGTCACACTATTCCGTTTCAACTGCACATAGAAAAGTTAATTAATCAGTGAAAATATGTCCTTAACACTCACGTAGTGCAATCCCGTAATACACGCAGGGTGTCCTCCCCCCCCCCAAAAAAAAAAACCCAGTTGTGCAAACAGATATCCTTTAATTATTCAAAAACTACTTAACATGAGTATTTCATCTTGATGGAGCATATTAATTATACTCTTGTGTATAATCAGTGAAAGTGCCATGGAAATCCGTTCATGCAAACCAGAAATCTAACAGATTGTAAAAGGCTATGGGTTTTTCACCCAATTCAATGGGATTTACACAGTTAGTGATATGAGTGCATCAGATTGCCACGGGCCTTTTCACTCGGATGTGAATTAAGTTAACTGTGTAAACCCCATCCCATTGGAATGGGTGGGAAACCCCATAGCTTTTTATAATATGTTATATCTCTGGTTTGTATGAACGGATTTCCATGGCATTTGTACGGAATATGCACAAGAGTATAATTAATATGCTCCATCAAGATGAAATACTCATGTTCAGTAGTTTTTGAGAAATTAAGGTATAACTGCTTGCACAATTTTGGGGACACCCTGTATTGCTTTGCTCCGCACGTAGTAGTGTCCTTCTGCAGGACTCGACTTCGGTTACTTTGGTATAATTTATGTTTAAACTGCCGATATTATATCAAGAGCCATATACCGATCGTTCTTGCTGTAAGTGCCTTATCACATTATCGGATCATAATAATGTATACACTCGTTAATGATTTCCGATGGGTGGATAATGTGCTCTTATCTTCTAGTTGATATCAGTTCTGGCCATGAATTGTTGCAAGCAAGCGAACATCAAATTGTACACGAGAGAGCCCTTTGTGTCTGCTTCTGTAGTAATACTGCCGAATGCCGATGAAATGAAGGGGACAAAATCAAATATCTATTGAGGCGTGTTGATAAAATCTTTTGTATTGGCAAATGAGCAAACCGAACAAAAAACCTAAAAGTGAAGTGTATAAACTTGGTGTCAATGACGTGTGTTTATATCCGACCTGGATCAAATCACTGTTGGCCTGTGCTCTACAAATCACCTCCGAAACCTAAGATCAGAACGAGTATCAATCTGCTAATCTTCTACGTCATGACATGGAGCTAAAGTTCCCACGGGCGTCGCAAGGATTTCCGATGGATGAAGCACGCACCGACAGGCAACTCAGTGAGAAATCAACGACCGTGCTAAAAGATTGAAAAGTGGGGGAAGGGGAAAGGGGTATTACTTGATGCTCGGGGCTCGGTTTTTGGTTAGACATCATTTAACGCTTTGCCCCCCCCCCCCGCGATGCAGTGACAGTTCCAATGGTCATGATGCGCTGGGTCCTTGCTCTATGCTTTAAGTGTGACGAAAGATTGTGCACTTCGGATGTGATTTTGGAGAGGATAAATGTGTTAGGTCCACAGAATAACTCAAATGGTTTCAAAAAGTTCGTAATTGTTTATTTTTCATTTTTTTTTTAAAATAATGTGAACCTCGCATTTAAAATGCGGTGTTCTATGTTTATTGTTACCAATGAGGCCATCACGGCACAAACTAAACTGCATCAACTGTGTTTAGCAATTAAACATTTTTTTCTAAACATCTTCTTGTCATCAGTTTGTAAACATGTTCAAATACTAAACATGTTCAGAGTAAGGATGGATAGTGTTTAGCAATTGAACATTGATGTTTAGGAATTGAACACATAATATTTAGCTTCTAAACATGTTTACAAAGTGATAGCAAAATTGTACATGTATCGCTTTACAATAGAGGACAGACTCACAGAGGGAGATGAACAGATCCTTTCAGTCCTCGAGCGTTGGGTCTTTTGTTGAAAACGGTCCTTGATCGAACGGTTATGTGCTTAGTTTATGAGAGAGTGTTATATTACAGGGACAAAGGGAAACACAAAGCATTGTCCTCGGGCGTTTAAAAATACACGACTGTATGTGTTTAAACAGTTTTTAGAGTGTATCTCATATCTGGCCTGAGGTCCTCTTGATACAATTGAAATGACTTGCACAACTTTTTGATACTTGTGAATATGATATAACTGACACGAATAGTATATAGACGGAACACGAGGGTACATGTAGTTCGTTGAGCATATTTTTCGGATTTTCATTCTTGAAAGAGGCGTTTTCCCCCTGTTAGACTTATAGCTTGTTCCTCAAATGAGTAACAATTTCACACGTCAGGCCTTAGCACAGACGCCAGAAACGCCATCAGTCGATTGCCTTTGGCCGTTTGGTATAACTTGAAATTAAAGCAAAGATTTGAGCAAGTAGGTGTAACGAAGTGGGCTAGAATAGGACAGGCCAGTGTAAGGCAGCATCTTCAGACTAAAGACCTTTTATTTTTAATATAGGTTTTCCCGGCCAATTTCCTGAAATATTCATTCACTTCTGAAAATCGGTCATTCCATTTCAATTCAACGAAAGTTCAATCGTTTTCATTGTCCTTGCATTCGGTTTTGAGAAACAGACGGCCAATTACGTTACCTGTGCATTCATTTACGCAATACCTTTTCGCGCAGAGTTCTGGAATACAATTTCGTGAATGTGCAATCAAAAGTACGTGTTTCTCATTCAAAATAGCAGATTACATCTCAGAACATAAACTAAAAGTGAAATGTTTGAAATCGCCCTCTAAAAGCGAAAAAGAAGTCTTGTAAACGAATCTGAATGGACATAATGGACATAAACGAAAGGTGCTGCTCAATCACGTAATTGATTGAACTGAAATGGAATCAAATGCTCTGGTAGCGAAAATGAAACGCGTGTTCAGAACGATTCTCAAATTCAGACGAAAATGAATGACCGATTTTCAGAAGTGAATGAACATTTTAGGAAATTGGCCGGGAAAAGCTGTATTAAAGAAGTATACCGTTTTTTGATGGGTATTATGTATACGTTTCCTTCGTAAAGTGAACCGGTGCAGTATTTGCGGGTTGGTTCCAATCTATTTTGAGAATTACTTTTCATGCAACACGGCTCAAATTGCCCTCCGAGGGTGCTTGTCTGCAGAGCCCACGCAGCTGCGGTGATTAAACCTCAAATCCCTAGCTGTGCAGGTGTTTTTTAATACCTTACCAAGCCAATCTTCATTAGCGAGAACCCATTTGCCCCGCTTCGCCTGGCGAAATCGACGTTTAATATCAAACGAATAAGCCCTGCAGGTACGTCATGCATGTGTATAGCCAATTCGACGCGGGTTCATAATAACTTCTTATTTTTTGGCGTTCCATAAATCGTAATCAAAACGGTCTCATAATTTGATTTAAGCGGTGAAACTGCGCGAATCGTGTATCATTTTCTTTGTCAAAAACTGACGCGGCCAAGTACGGTAGTACATCGTTCTCAGAAAGAGCTTCAAATTTGATTTTCCCTTTCAAACTAAGGTATTGCTTGAGGCAAGCGTCTATCCGACGGTGGTGGAAGTGCGAAAATACGTCAATCATCTGATTTTTGTGTTCACAGTGAGAAACAAATATATGCTATGTGGCCGGGAGTCAGCTTGGCGTATATAGCGGTATACTTTCCTCGACTTCCACCGCTAGCGCTGTGACCGGGGTTCGATTCCCGCCTGGGCCAACATGTGGATTGGGTTTTCAGTCTCTGCCTGATTTCGTGGAGTTTTCCCCAAAATATCATTTTGGGGTTTTCCTCCCATACTTCTCTCTAAGTTTATTTAGGCTTGCGAGCTATACAGTGCCTATAGGGCGCTTTTGATGAATCCTTGGTTTCATTACCAGAATTAATTAATAATAATGATAATAATTGTAATCTCGACATCTCGTTGTGTTTTGCTTTGGTCAAAGACGATCTAATAGATTGCAGTGTGCACTTTGAATGGGATATTAGGAAGGGAGATAATTTGGTTCAGGACGCGCCTCCGAGAAACACAAGCAAAGGTTTTCACAGTGCGGATGTACTTATGTATGCAAGGTTTATTTGTTGGAAGAATCAGGGCCTATGCAATGTTGATAACTGAATGTTTCAAATATTATAACTTTTTATGAAATATCTTTAAAATACCGAAAAGGCAAGAGTACTTGAATTTGTTCCTTTAAAGAAGGAGGTTGCTAAATTCTCCTTAATCACTAATGGTTCCTATGAGGAGAAATTGGTTTACCAATTTGGGTCACGTGTTCACCATGGTACGAAACTGTCGAGTATTTATCTTTTAATTGTAAGGTTTTCCATAATGTACATTTTTTTTCTGTTTCGTATTTAGTTGATGCTAATTGGTTAAAATCAATATGGCGTTTTGTGTTCTTCTACTATGATTTAAAAAAATTCAGTCTCGATATATTCTCTCTAGTACAGAACCAAATTGTATTACGGAATACGATTACAGCGAACATCACATAAAAAACTCATTGACTGTGATACTCTG